AGAGATAGGGTCTCACTGAGTTGCTTAGCACCTAAGCAAGGGAGTCCTAACCAGCTCAGAAGTTGCCAGACACGGGTGCTGATGAGGCTGGCTTTGAACTCGCTATCATCCTGCCTCAGCCTCCCGAGATACTGGGAATATAGATGTGCGCCACTGTGCCCAACTTTTCTAGTTATTTTTAAATATGTCATAGATTGCTGTAGGCTGTGGTTACTTGACTGATGTGGAACACCAGAACCAGCCCCTCCTGGTTAACTGTGTTAGGATGCTCACTCCTAACCTCTGACCATCTCCTCTCGACCCTACCTTTCCAGTCTCTAGAGGCCACTACTCCACTCTCTTCTATGAGATGGCTTTGTAGCTTCCGCACATGAGTGAGAAGAGGCAGCTATCCCTGGCTCCCTTAGCTTAGCCATCTCCTCTTAATATCCTGACCCTTTTCAGGGTGGGATTCCCCCTTGTCACGCTGCCGTTGTTTTCTGAGCCCCTTCTCTGTGGGGCCAAAGGTCTTAGATGATTCAAGGGGTGCACTCATGTGGCTATTTACATTTAAATTAATTAAAATTAGGTAGAAATAAAAATTCAGGTCCTTGTTTTCACTTGCCACACTTCAAATGCCCAGTGGTCACTTGTAGCTAGTAGCTACCCTCTTGGGAGCACAGGCACAGAACTGCAGAAAATGCTGGGCCTCAGCTCCCCAGACACCCAGCTCCTGCAAGCCTGCCTCTCCAGCACTGAGCAAAGGGCCTGGGCCACAAAAGCTGCAGAATGGACATGCGAGTGTGCCTGGCACTCAGGAAAGGGAGTCCTACCAGCTTAGAAGCCACCTGTTGTCAGAATCAGCCAGGCTTCTGTCACTATGGGAAAATGGATGGCTGGGGAAAGATGCCTGCTGCCCTGGGCCCATTGAACAACCTGCCTTGAGTGCCACTCTGGGTGACACTGTGGAGGACTTGGGAAGTCAGCTTGGACTTCATCTCTCTGGGGCTAGAGCCCCTGGAAATCAGGGAGTTGGGGAGTGTAAGGTTATAAGAAGAGTCAGAATCATGAATACGGTGCCTTGGGTTTTAGGTTCTGTGAAGTAGGACAGGCAATCTGAGCCTCCGACCATTCTGGGTCTTTGGTACATTTGAGAGAACAGAGCCTTGGGTGACAGATCCTTCCTCTGCTGGGCAGCAACCAGGGCACTGGGTTCCAACTCAGGAGCCTCATTTCCCGATCAAGGCTTTGGCCGTGGTGCGCTTCGTCATTCATTATTCATGAATGGACTCCTCTGTTCAAAAGTAAAGCGCAAATGCTGTAAATTAGGGCTGCAGAGAGGATGGCAGGGAACTTGCCGGTTTGCCTTCAGCACTATCCTCTCTAGGAATTGGTGCCAAGACTTTGTGGGTGAGAAATGAATTTTCATGATGCATCAAAAAATGCATGTTTTAAGAAATCACCTTTATAAATGGGAGCAGGTGGGGAAGAATCTGAAGGAGAAGGAGCAACGCTTGCAGATGAAAAGCACAGCCAGCAGAGGAGGAGGCGTGAGGACACCACGAAGACCGGGGATGGGCTTGTGATGCTGGGTTTTTCTCTTTCCTTCCCACATGCACACAATGGTCACGTGCGAGGAAACGCACACACAGACACACAGGCACATGTACAGCACTCTCCTGTGTGGACTATTTAGGGCTAATCCTTCCAGCAGGACTTTATTTCTCTCAGGGTTGAAGGATTTGTTGGGGCCAGCTATGGTTTGAATGTGGCTTGAGTGTGTTCCCCAAAAGCTCATGTACTGGAAGCTTGGTCCCCAGCTTGGTGATGCTGGGAGGTGGTGGACCCTGAAGAGATGGGGCCTTGAGGGAAGTGACTGTGTTCTTGGAGCATCGTTGGGAGAAAGTAATGCAGTACTCAAGGGACCCCAGTGAGTTCCCAAGAGAGTAAGTTGTTAACAAGAGCAAGCTTGGCCCCTGGATCCCTCTTATTTCTGTTTCCCATGTGACCTCTACCTCTTGTGTACATTCACTCCCATCATGATGCCATCTGCCAACTTGTGATACACCAGAAAGGCTTCACCAAAGGCTGAACTGATTTTGGGCTTTCAGCCACCACAATGGTGAGCTCTTCTTTCTTCATGACCTAGCCTCAGGTTTTTTGTTATAGCAATGGAAAATGGACTCAGACCCTCTGTTAAGTTGCTTGTTTACTTAGTGACCTGTAAGAGCACGAGAGGTAAGGTGTACTCACAACTGGGAGATGATGTTGTGAAGAGTCTCTGCCCTTGGGCATTGCAAGTTCTGCCTCTTGGGTACCATGTGGTCCTCCACTCCTCCTTCTGAAGCCCCCAGTATGGCTCTCAGTGCTGGGGTGATGCTGTCTTCCTTCTCTAGTATGAGGCCTACTCTCTAGGAGGCCCATGTATGTCTTGTACTTACTCTTGTCCATGGCAAACGTCCCTTCCAGGTTGTTCTCCTTCACAGGGGTGGCCTCACCTCAACAGATACTTTCTAAAGGGTAGGCTGTGTCACGGCCCTGTGCTGGTATTGGCATGTTCAGAGACCAGCAGGAGTGAGCCACTACCCCAGGGATGGGGTGACGAACTAGGGCAGTAACAGCCACATAGGGTGGCCACAGGTGAGAGACAGAGGAAAGGGCACTAGGCAGGGATGTGAGGGTGGAAGGGGGGAGTGCCAGATGAGACTGGAAGGAGCCCTGAGCAAACGGTGCCTGAGTGCTGGCCTTAGGCCGGTCACTCCAGGAGATGGACAGTTACTGCCATTTTCCTGGTGAAACTACCTGCTGTTCTCAGAGTCATAGAATTCAGACCCAGAGTAGGATGTGAACCAAGGTCCCTCAGATGACACTCTGTTTCATTAGGTCACACAGGTCACATGAGGGGAGGAAGGGCATTTCTGGCAGTGGGAAGAGCTGGAGTAAAGGCATGGAGAATTTGAGCAGGAAGGCATGTTCTGGAAAGTGCAGTTTATTCTGTACTGGGTGAAAGGTGTGGGTGCAGGGGGGTGGAGTGGGTGGGGATGATGGGGACTCAAGCAAGGGAGTGGAAATCCCTCCCCAGCTCCAGTGGGGTAGCTGTGGTCACACTGGTAAATCAGCTGGTTCACCCTGTGTCTGGCCCCTTGGTTGGAGGATGAGGGTTGGGCACAGGGACAATTTACTCCTGTGTGATGCCCCCCTCCCCTTGAGTCACAGCTTTCTGGTCCTGGGTTTTATCTAGAAAATAAGGGAACTGGACACACAGAGGTTTTCACGCCACCACATGCCCATTTAGTCCATCTGCCTCCCAGGAGTCCCTCACTGGTGATCAGCTTTGATACAGCCCCCCCCCCTTGTTTTTCCAAATTAACCACAGATAGCAGGATGCTCAGGTCTTGAATGAGGTAACTTCCCCCCCCCCCCCCCCAGTTTCCTGGGCTGAGTGGATTCTGGGTCAAGGCTTTGCTTTCCACAGGTGGATTCTGGCTTTCATTTCTTTTTCTTTTGGGGGGTAGGTACCAGGGATTGAAGTCAGGGGCACTCCACCACTGAGCCACCTCCCCGGCTCTATTTTGTATTTTATTTAGAAACAGGGTCTCACTGAGTTGTTTAGTGCCTTGCTTTTCTTCAGGCTGGCTTTGAACTCCGGATCCTCTTGCCTCAGCTTCCTGAGCCACGGGAATTACAGGCGTGCACCACCGTGCAGGTTTCTGAATGAAATGTAGTGGGTTCAGAGGAAGTCAGACTGGGGACCCCTAACATTTCTCATGTCCAAGGCTGCTGGCCTCTGGCTTTCTTTGGACCCCTCTGTGGACTCCTGGACCCCAGGCTGCTGGCCTCCAGCCTCCTGTGGACCCCTCTGGAACCTGGATGCGGAACAAGGCTCACCTCTGGGACGGGCTTTGAGGGAGTCGGATTTTACTCTTTAAGCTATTTTTCTTGGAAAGGGAATGTGTGCACAAGGGAACAACTCAGATCAAGACTAGGAAACCCTGCAAGCCTCCAGGTCCCAGGCTCACGGTCGCGGGGGCCTCTGCGCAAACGCCTCCGACCGTGCTCTAGGATGGAAGCTTTGACTAGCTGCTCAGCGTTGGTCAAGATCGTCACCCAGCACAGGGAGGGGACTCCAAGTCGCTCTTGCCCTTCCTGGCGATGCCTAGACTCGCCTCTGTCCCAAGGACGCCCTGAAGACTCTCAGGGGGAAGACCAAAGGCGAGCTCTTCTATTTGATAACAACCTTCTGAGACAATCACGCGGGTGGGGACAAATTTAAACCACACACGGTCCCTCCCCGACAAATTTAAACCGCTGCTGCCCATTCTCACCTCCGCCAGGTACGTCTCTTTTCGGAGGTGCTCCCGTGTACTGGCCCGCCCACCAGCGATATCAACTTTAAAAAAGAACCCGATGCAAGCATTACATCCTAGCGTATTTCTGCTCTTTGCCTTTTTTCTCCTAACCATAGGTTTGGGCGCTGGCTTCCCGCCAGCCCCGCGGACGCCGCCCCAGTACGGCTGCATGGGTCCGCGGTCACTGACTTGCGTGCGGGGTACAGGGGTCAGCTTCAGTGAGTGACCCCGGGTGGCTCGGCCACTTTCCGGGTCTGTGCAGGGGCTCCTCCCACTCGAGATCAGCTCTGCCGGCGATGCCGGGGCGGCTCCGCAGCCGGGAGACCTGCGGGAACTTTTCCCGGTGCCCGTGCGCGGGGCCCAGGCAGGTTCGACAGCCTGTCGTTTTGGTTTGGTTTTAAGATCGCGAATCGCGGCGAAAACCCGCGGAAGGAGAACACAGGGGCGCGTAGAAGGGGAAACTGAGCCCCGCGGGCGGGAGGATCGCGCTCCGCCCCGACCCGCCCTGTCCGGGCGCGCCCGCCCTTTCCCCGACGTGGGCGGTCCCGGGCCAGCTGCCCGCCCTCCCTGCGGCCAACCCCCCTCCCGGGCGCCAAGCCCATCCCTAAGGCGGCTCGTCACCGCCGGGAGGCCAATAGGCTGGGTCGAGCGGCCACGCGCACTCGCACCCGCTGCCTCCGAGGCCCTCCCGCGCCCTCTCCGGCGCTCCTCTCCGGCCCTGGTCCAGCCCGCCGCCGTCGGATCCGCCATGCAGTCCTTGCGCGCCGTGCTCCTCCCGCTGCTGCTGCTGCTGCTGGCCGCGCCTGCCTCGGCGCTGCCGCCCCGGGCCGGCCGCTCTGCGCCTGCTGCCACCGGGCCAGCTGCTGGCTGTCCCGAGCGCTGCGAGCTCGCGCGCTGCGCCCCGCCGCCCGACAACTGCGAAGGTGGTCGTGTCCGAGACGCGTGCGGCTGCTGCGAGGTGTGTGGCGCCCCCGAGGGCGCCGCGTGCGGCTTGCAGGAGGGCCCTTGCGGCGAGGGGCTGCAGTGTGTGGTATCCTTCGGGGTGCCCGTCTCGGCCACCGTGCGCCGGCGGTCGCAGGCCGGGCTCTGTGTGTGTGCCAGCAGCGAGCCGGTGTGCGGCAGCGACGCCAATACCTACGCCAACCTGTGCCAGCTGCGCGCTGCCAGCCGTCGCTCCGAGAGGCTGCACCAGCCGCCGGTCATCGTCCTACAGCGCGGCGCCTGCGGACAAGGTACCCCTCCCGCCCTGCGCTACCGGGCAGCTTCCCTGACCCTCCATTCCACCCTGGCCTTCCCCGCGGGGCAAATGGGCCAGCCGAGGGGCAGCGGAGCGTTGTAGGGTGTTTCAGGGCGTCCGCTCGCCAGGAGAGGTGGGTAGGGCTCTGGGATGGCAGCATTCACGGGCTCCCTCGGAAGCGAGCGCTGCGCCCAGCCCGGGGTTGGTCGGCGCCTGGCGTGTTCTCGGCGCGCTCTGCCCGGCAGCCCCGGGCCAGGGTGACAAGGCATCCCGCCCTGTGGCCTGCCGCTGGATGCTCTGCGCGGAACCACAGCACCCGGGACTCTGGAAATAATACAGGAATGTAAACATAAGGAGGGGAACGTTGAGGACTGAGCGGCTTTGGGACCACAAGAACTTACTTCTGTTGCTTCCCTCCTTCTATTCTCTGCTCCCCTCCTAGCTTTGAAATTACCCATGCAGCATTTTTTTCCATGGCTCCTCTCAGTGAAAAGTTTAACTTTTTGGGGAAAGAAACAGCGTTGCCGTTGCCCGTAGTTTCCCCAGATGGTCTCCCCCGGGAAGGACTGTGTTAGGACCACTGACGTTTCAGCACTGTCGCTGCCTGTCTCGCTTGTTTTGAGCAGGAAAAAAAAAAAAAAAAAGTGAAAGCAGCTTCTTTTGAATAAACTAAACTCCAGCGCTGGATCAGAAATCTGCAGAGCCAGAGGCAGGATGGGCTAGGGATGAGGAGGAAGATGACCAGCTCTCCCTCATTCAGCTTGTCTGTATCCAGACCCCTTCTGACCCAGAAGGTGTGTGTGTGGGGGGAGGGGTGGGGGCAGGGAGGACAGTGGAGAAATGCCTGTCCTAACTTTAGGGAGAGATGCTGTGTCTCCATGAAGAGATGCCATGTGGAAAAACAATACAGAGTTCAGCCCCAGCCAGTCTAGTGGTGTGGGGACCAGCCAGCTGGGCTTGGCAGTGCACTTGGCCACAGCCACCCGGTGGCTGCCCAGACCTGGTGTCACCTTCTCAGTGTATGCATGTGGAGAGAGGGATGGGAGCGTGCAGGACTGAGGGTCTAGACTGTTCTTTATAGGAGCATGACCACCTGGCACAGCTTGGCTCGCATGGAGAGGAGGGTGCCAGAGTGGTACAGGGAGTGGCCGGAGGATGTGCATCCACTGACACGGGAGCACAGAGCCCAACCTCAGCCCTCAGGAAACTGAACTTCTTTAAGGAGAGGAGAATTATTTCAGAGACAAATGATCTGAGGGCCAGGGAGGGGCGTGGAGAAGGTTCACCTTCGGAGTGCAAGTCCATTGCCAGGTGCGTCGCCCCAGACGCTTTCAGTCTTGATAGCCTCTCCGGAGGAAGCTTCTGCCTCCCCTTCCTGTTTTACACAAGTGAAGCTGAGGTTGAATCATTGTCCAAGGGCACTCAGCTGAAATCTGAACCCAGATAGCCTTATTCAGAGCCAGCCCTAGGGCCCAACATCAAAGCCCTGGGAGAGGGGCTTTCTAAGAGGAAGGGATCCAGGGGGTGCACCCTACATCTGGGGTGTGGAGCAGCCTGAGCAGAGCCATAGTTTTGTTTGGGAAGTGGGGAATGGATCGGGGTTGTGGGCATTTGGGAAGGGCCAGGAATGATCCGGGCTGGGTGATCAGAGTCCCAGGAAGGAGGAAGAGGGACCGTGTCACGTACAATGACGTTCTTGGCAGCTCAGAGAAAGCCTGGCGGGGGACTAGCCTAGTGGAGGAGTGAGAATACCAGAGGGTGAGGAGTTTGGGCTCCTGCCAGAACCTGAGTGTGTAGTGACAACGTCAGGAAAGCGTATTTTGGTCAAAACAAGGCAGCGTTACTGTTTGTAGTCTGGCTGCACGGGGTCCTGAGTTACTTTCACCATGTGAACAGCCTAATTTATTGCCACTGAAGCCGGGTCACTTAACGAGCTCTGGAGTTGGCAGAGTCCAAATACTTGTTTGGTTGAGTTGCCTCTGGAGAGAAACAGGTCCCTCATTGGCCCTCTGTCTACCAGTGGTTCTCCAGTGCACTAGGTGGGAACAGACACAGAAGAATGAGCTTGGAGGGAGACAGAAGGGGTGCAACACTGGCCTCATCCATCCCTCCTACTTTTGCAAATATTTATTGAGTTTGTAACATGTCCGACACTGTTTGTGTGTCTGTCTGCCTGGCACATAGAAAGCACCCAATCGGTACGTGGGTGGATGAATGAGTGGATGGATGAATGAATGAGTGCGTAAATAGGAGGTGCTGGAGACTCGTAGCCATCCTATTGCTAGTGGAAGGCGTTGCTTTGCTCTGCCCCTTGCTCCCCATCTGACACTCTGCCCTAACTTCCCAGAGTTATTTCCAGGACGGGAGCCTGGGTGCCAATGACCTTTGATCAGCCCAAGCCCCGCTCCAGCTCTCTGCATCTGGTGCCCAGGGTAGGTCAGTTGACATCATAGTGAATGAGGAGAGTTGGCCGCCTGTTCTGGTGCAAGGGTTGCCGGAGTGCAGCTTTAGATGGGTGGACACAGAGGCCTTTAGAGAGGTGCTGTTTGGGTAGAAGATGGGGCAGGGTGGGGAGCACTCTACCGTAAGGGTGGTCCAGGATCACAGGAATTCAAAGGAGGGTTTGTCTGGGCAGTGTGTGGGGGAAGAGAGGGGGATGCTGTCAGAGGAGAGGTCTTTGGGCAGAGGAGCCATCCATTGGAGTCATGGTGGCCCTTTGGGTGGAGGAAGTGTCACCATTCAAAATAAAGCACTTTTGTCTGTGAATTATTTAATGAAGACCTCAGAGAACATCTCTAATTATGGAATTGGAAGTGAAGGCAAACCATCAATTTCAGAGCTCATCGCTGCTGGCAGGTCTCCTTGGAAAACTATAGTTATAGCAGAGAACAGGCATTTGTCATGTGCTATGGTGGTTAGGAAACTACGGGGAAAAGATAGAATTGCAATTAAGAATAGGATAATAATAATAAGGGCTCATGTACACCTCGTGCTTCTTTTGCTCTGGGCATTTATTTATCAACTCTTCATCCTCCTAACAATGGTTTTGCTATACTCTCCCCTGTCACAGCTGGGTGACAATCACATAGCAGTGCCTTTTCTTGCACTTGGACCCATGCATCTGGTTCCAGAGCTCTGTTCATAACCCCCACTCTGTGCTGTCGACAGAGCAGCAGCGATTATAAGCCAACTGCAGCTAAGCCACAGCTAAGAGCTGAGATAAACAGTGTTCCAGATGGCTGTGGCCTTAAGCAGGACAGATCCCAGCTCTCCCTCTGCAGGCGCAGGATTTTGAGGACAAGGTTTTCTTCAGTTGCCATCCTTGTAGCCCTGCTGAGGAGAAGCAAACTAGAAGGGGCTGTAGTTAAATCATTTCCAAACTAGAGTCCCAGGCCCCAAGCTGCTCTTGAGAGAAAAAGGCCCTTCTGGATCCCTGGAGATTCCAAAAGATGAGCCAGGACTGTGTGGCACTGCATGTCTCTGCTAAGTGGACGAGAAGCCAGGAAGGAGCTCCGAAAAAGACTCCCCAGACTGTAGAAGCCCAGTTCATTTCTCCTCTTAGTACACAGTCCAGACAAGCCCACCTTATCCCCAATGGTGGCCCCGATGAGCCTAGAGTCTCCGAGCCTCAGGCAGGAGGAGGATGCCCAGGGGACCCCTGCACTGGAGGTTCTCAGGGGTTGCTGGGTCCTGGACTCTCCCCAGAGCCTCTGAATATGGGGGTCACAGAATAGACAGTTGCTTTATTTCTTCAAGGCTCGCACCATTTGTAGACTCTATTTAAGTGGTTCTTTTATGGGTTCCTTGAACCTTAATCATTGTTATTTGAGGACCAGACACTTTGCTGAACGTGGGGGAGACATCGAGGAATAAAACAAAGCCCCTGCCCCTGGAGGCTTAGGCTTGACACAGTCGGGGAGGTACCAGCCTCCATCACCACAAGTGCAGCATCTGCTAGAGGGTCATTTCCACTATCTGCACTTCAAACACATTTTTAAGAAATAAGCATGCAAGGGTCAAGGCTTCATTTTAGGGCAGGGTTGGTAGAAAACTTTGAGTTTCCAGGTTTCAGTCCTTTGAAACTTGGAAATTTTAATATAAAAGACTTTGCTCACTGTGGTTGCTTATCTACTTTTATTGCTCTGATGGTTTTACTAAAGAGTTAAAAACTATTAAGCGTTCATAAAATTAGTAAGCTAACAGGATCAAAAGCCAAGCATTTGATTTACTTCATTCTGTCCAGGAGAGCTGTAAATAGTTGCAATGGAGCTTAAAATAACTGCAGTCTGTAGGTGATTATGGCCGGACCATGAGCTCACGGTGGCCAGACAGCCTCAGCACAGCGGGGCTGGATTGAGTAGGTTTGGAGTTTTGTGATCCTGGACAAGTTTTGTGCCTTGGATTCAGAAATCAGACTTTCCATGAGCTTATATTTCTAGTGAATAAATAGCTCTGGTTAAGCTTAATGAGAAGGAGAAATCAAGCTTGGCAGGGGTTGAGGTTCCTTGGAAGACCAGCTGGGATGGCAGGGCCGGAGGGCTGACACCTGGCCCTGGCCTCTGTGGGCGGTTACCTGACCGATGACCAGCTCCTCCTTCTGAGCTTTCAGCAAGGAGAGGACTGGACCAGCTGATCTCTGAGGTCCCTTCTAGCTAGAATGGCCTGTGCTTCTTGTAAGAAAATCAGTCTCAGAGGAGATTGGAGCCCCAGCCTTTCTATTTTGAAGGCTGAGTGAGTTGCCCAAAGAGTTACTCCGTTTTTGAAAATTGCAACTGTCAAAGCCAAGGTTGGCACTGAATGGATGTGACCCATCTAGAGCCTGGTTGTCCTGAACTTTGGTTCTGTGCTGGCTGCTGGAAGTCCCTGGGAGACTGTGGGTCACATGTCTACCCCCAAGAACCCGAGGCTCTGGGGCCTGGTGTCCTTCCCTGGGGCCTGAGGCTGGACTGCCTCTGGTCCTCTGGAGTGAGTCTCCTACTGAGCCAGCATGGCTTG